GCCATGATGAGTATTGCCGACGATGGAACGACTCCTCTTACAAGATGTTCACCTGTGCCGTAGTATCGTTTTTGAAGTAGGAAGCTCAAAAAACCGCAAATTTCTTACGCAGACTGTGAAGTTATGAGTGCATTTCAGACTTTGCCGATGCGCTCATCGTGATTTTTGAGGCATTATCTATAAGAAACAACTCTTATTTTTGCTCTAGCAAAAGTTTGCAACAGGCCCATTCTCACGAGAGCGGCTACGCGATCATGATCACGTGATCAAAATCATTCTGTACCCCAGAATCACCCGAAATGTGCTTACGCTACCTAATCCATATTATCCACCTACTAACTATCATCCATCTCAACATATAAGAGGTAGGTATACTATGGCACATTAGACTGAGGGTAAAACAGAAATACCGGCCGCAGTTTAAAATTTCAAGGGAAACTCATTGGAGAAAACTCCCATCTGCAAACACGTACTGGTGTGGATGGCAATCTTTAATAGGCTACGCTTTTGAGTCCATAAACTTTGACTTTCATTCATGAGAACTGAGATCGATTAGTCTTATCTTTGAACAAAAAGGTTGCAAACTTTATTTCCAATGTTCATTTGTATGTCCAGAGTGTAGCTGTAGAATGACAGTTGCTTCACAAATTTCGGAGGTTTTTTTTTTAATATGCCACCGATAAATTGCTGTAAAAATGTGAATTTTTCACTCGATGAACTCAACAACTTAATAAGATCTTGATAAAAAGCTAACGAATAAAGCTACAAAATTCTGCAAACCGTACTTCAATATCTTCAATGATCCATTCACAGCAGGCTGACGACTCTCCGTTTCTTTGGGACACCTTTTGTATTCATATGCATACGAAGGCATTCATTGTATAGAGAATAATTTAAAAAGTGCTGGAATTGGTTGATGATAAGATTGATATGATACAAGCTAAAGAAGATCATGGGATTATGATTAAAAAAATATTTTATTTTACAGAGTTGATAGAAAAAATAGATCCATATTTAGTGTTGGTCACATTTTTTCTTGTTTGTATTGGTCACTTTAGGGTTGGAGGTCCCTCATGAAGTGGTAACGGTCAATCCTTGTAGTTTGTTAAAGTGTAGAGAATGGTAAGTTTTGAAGCTCGGAGGTGAATTACCTGAGACCCAAGTATTATACAGGGTGTCTCACGAAAAACGAGCCACCTTAAATATCTGCCGAACGCGTCGGAATTTCGAAAAACGGTTAAAGACGTGTTCGTTTATATCGAGGGGGACACCTTTTGGCGTATTCGACATTTTCCCAAATCGCGGGAGGGGCGCGGGGCGGGGGGTGCCCCACCCGCAAGTAGAACTTTTCAAATAGCACCCCTACTTTTTTATTCAGAAATCAATTCTACGCAAAAAAACAAGCCACCCTGTCCAAACGGAATGTAAATCGGACAATTTTTCAGTGATTGACAGAGTTTGAAACATTTTTTTCATGCTCTTTTCAAAAATTTCCCACGCCCAATGGAATTGCTGTATCAAACCAAACTCTCCGCCAAAAAAATTCTTAAACATTGCTTCTTCGATAAAAAAATAAAAAAATATATGCTGCACTCGAAATCTGGAGCACGCGGAGCCCTTCTTTGCGACATCAAAATTCGTTACACCGAACATTTCCGAGAGGCGCTCATCGGGAGGGAGTAGTAAGTTTTAGGCAAGAATTATTAATCTTTTTTCTGAATCATAAGAAACCGTGTCCATGAAGAAGCAGTTAAGTAGAAAAACAACGCACCGCGGAAAAATAGCGTCCTCAGAAGTATTAAGGTCCGGCTCAAATCAATGCCCCCCCCCCCCAAAAAAAAAGCTAATCCATTTTTTTTTTCCGACTTATCTGCTTCTTCGTGGACACGGTTTGTTATGCTTCAGAAAGAAGATTAATATTTCTTGCCTAAAACTTACTACTCCCTCCCGATGAGCGATCCTCGGAAATGTTCGGTATAACGAATTTTAATGTCGCAAAGAAGGGCTCCGCGTGCTCCAGATTTCGAGTGCAGCATATTTTTTTTATTTTTTTATCGAAAGTGCGATGTTTAAGAATTTTTTTGGCGGAGAGTTTGGTTTGATACAGCAATTCCATTGGGCGTGGGAAATTTTTGAAAAGAGCATGGAAAAAATGTTTCAAACTCTGTCAATCACTGAAAAATTGTCCGATTTACATTCAGTTTGGACAGGGTGGCTTGTTTTTTTGCGTAGAATTGATTCCTGAATAAAAAAGTAGGGGTGCAATTTGAAAAGTTCTACTTACGGGTGGGGCACCCCCCGCCCCGCGCCCCTCCCGCGGTTTGGGAAAATGTCGAATACGCCTAAAGGTGTCCCCCTCGATATAAACGAACACGTCTTTTACCGTTTTTCGAAATTCCGAAGCGTTCGGCAGATATCCAAGGTGGCTCGTTTTTCGTGAGACACCCTGTATAAATCGATACTTGACTTACTATACCGCGCGTTTTTTAAATGTTTGTCACATCGTTCCGCTATTTCAGCCGCCTTATTGTACCTAGATGTCTTTCATGGAGTAGGAACAGTTATTTTATCCTCATATTTCGCTTTTTTGACCCAGTAAACCTAGGAAAAGATACCTAACACGCCATCTTGGATTTCGGGCTCCCTAAGAGATCAGAGATAATTTTGAACAACATGACTCTGAATTCTACAACCAAAAGTACATGGAAGTCGATACCTATCATGACGTAACTTGATTATTACAAGTTGTTGACCCTCAGTGTTGGCCATTTTTGCCGCCTTTTTGGGGCCTGGAGCCCCTCCGTGCCCCAATAATGTAAATTTAACTTCATTTTCGGATTTTACGACCCAAATACTATAAAGGTAGACACCCTACTCGGCACTTAGAGGAGCACTTGTCCCTTACACCGTTTTTGGCCCAAAGGCCGCCATCATGGAATTTGGGGTCTCGAAAATGGTCTAAGTGAATCTATGACTGCAGGTTTGAGTTCTACGACCAAAAATACAATCGTCACCTCAGTCGGTCAATAGGGTTATCCCCACAGGGATTATTTTGGTCGCCATCCTGGATAGGGGGCGACTTTTTGAAAATTGAGGATGACAACATCGGAATTCTGTTTCTGTACATCAAGAGAAAGAGATTAAGACATCTCCCACACTTCTATCACTATTAGTGCCACGGGACCCTACAAATGAACATTTGCCTGTACTATCTCCAGAGGGGGAAATTTTAAAAAAAATTAAATAATTTTTGGGTGACTCAGACCATGCCGTTCGATGCCTGAAAAGATGAGGCAATTTCATTCCAGGCCCAGTTTTAATGGCAGATGAAAGGAACAACTAACCTCTTATCCACTCTGTTCCAAGGATCAAAATTTTTTGGTCAAGTAGCCCCGTTTGCCTACGTAGTATATTTACCAACATATGAAGCTCATCTGAATGTTTTTTGGAGAAGAATAATTGCCTTACCTTTCTGAAGAATCCATGCCCTTGTTCATCTAGGTTTTGCCGCTGAAGCTGAAAATTACCCCAACTTTTTTCAACACGGTTGGAAAATCGAGTGTTTAAAAAAGGGGAGGGGGAGGTTCAGAACGGAAAAATTCGTTTTCTCCCAAAAGCTATTCCTTCTGCAACTGCTTGTGTTTTTCTTGACCTATTCTATCTCAGGATGCGCACGATTTGCGACATTGTCAAACTCCTGGTTCATTACTTTAAAGAGAATACTCACCATCCTTCTTACATCCTATATGACTAACATGTTTATAACATGGGTATGTTCCAACAAACAATGTGGAACTGTCAGATGCCAAGTCAAGGTGTTATGGGAGTCATTCCATGCCGGATCAACCGGACCAGTTCACCACCCGTCTCGGAATTGTACGATTTTTTTTTTTTTTTTCTCATTCAGTAGGTCAACGTAAGAAAAAGTTCAAATTTTTAGCCCATAATACCCAGGAGGTCTTAAGAAAAAAATTATCAAAGTTTTGATGATTTTTGATAAAATGCATGCAACTCGAGTTTTCTGAAGTCAAGATACCGTTGCAGGCCCTCACAAACGACTTGAGATAGTTGAGCCACGTCAAAAAGATGCAACATTGAATGATCTTTGAAAGAGGTTCAGGAAATTTTTACCGTCCGACCGACCCTCCCATCCGTTCTGATGGAAAATAGTCAAAAAGTTTGATTTTTCCGGCTTTTTCAAGCAATTTCCACTGAAAATTGACATTTGAACCCACAAAATGCCGGACAGTCATCAATTTTATTCGTAGCCGTTAAGATTATACTTTAAGGATTATTATAAGAAAAAAATTGTACATCCTCCGCGCCTTCTTTGCTACTCTCATTTTACTGAACCTAGTTATTACCGCAAAAATGGAAAATCAATAAAATGAACTTTGAACTTGACAAATGAATAAAATAAACATATATTTGACCGCTGTTCTACTCACTCATAGTTTGGGTCCACGAAACATTTTTTCTCATATTATTCATACTCTCAGCGACCTGTGAACAAATTTTTAGCCAGATACCTTTAAAACTCAAATTTTTACTGAGATTTTTCGAAGGACAGGCACAGCTTTTTTAGTGATCCTAGAAATGCATTTTTTCATGCATTTATCAAAATTTTGATAATTTTTTTCTTAAGACTTACTGGGTATTTTGGGCTAAAAAGTTGGACTTTTTCTTACTTTGACCTACCAAATTAATAAAAACAGATATCTTGCTAATCAGAGATGAATCGTGAACTTTTGTCATTTTTTTGGTTGATTTGGAATGGAATGACAGACTAAATTTGGAAGTGGAGTTAGAAGTGATGTATACTAGAACTGAAAAATATATTCTCTAGATGTTTTGTGGAAGTATGAAGTCATAATAACGAATGAATAATTAGACTTATGATTCTACAGTCCCATATTTACCTCTCTATTGGCGGCATCTATGTCGACAAAATTTTCCTGGTTTCTTCACCTGCATTAACTACTTGCTTCTCATTTTTACAGCGCACAGGAGGCAGGCTGCCCTGAACGAATTACAAAGGCTGAAAATTGAACGCTCACTACGCCCTAATGTCGTTGACTCATGTTACTTGAAAGAACGAGGCTCTTTGACTGTTTCCGAGATCACATTGCCGATCAAAATGGACGCCATCAAGAGTGCATCTCGAGGTGATCTATCATTATAATATATAATGCTGTAAGCCCTAGAGGACCTGTATACGGGAGAGTATTGCCATCTCAATCTTTATACTACAGAAGAAGTGTACCGCTTTCTGATTGGTTGACTATCATGGAGCCCCAAAGTTGGCCCAATGTAACAAACCCCAGCCTCCGTTCCTAGTTTGGCTGAATGTAAACAAACAAGATGACGAAAAAGTTCTACAAAGTTCTACAAAGTTCTAGACGTGATTTTTGGTGTGATAGAATTTTTTTACATCCAACTTCTGAATTGAGTCCGGATCGAACGTAGATAAATATTTTTGCCGAAAATGAACTTTTGAGTGTGATTATCATTCATTTCTCAGCCGATAATGCGTGTTCCTCTGAGTCGGGTTTGTTTACATTGGGCCAACTTTGAAGCTCCATGATAGCCTATAACTGATTAACCAATCAGGTTGCGGCACAGAGTTGGCAATACTCTCCCGTATACAGGTATTCTAGTAAGCCCAATCCTTCGGGTCAAAATTCAGCGGGGATCGCCGCACAAAGCAGCCCTCTGTGGACAAAAATCCAAGATTCTAAACTCTACATTTAAATATTTTTTTCGGATATTTGTCATCTTCATGATATCCCTGACTCACAATGATGGTTCATTTTCGAATTTTTGCCCATAACTAGTTCAAATTTAGGTAGAATGTGGGCAGAAAATGGGTCGAGAATCACTGGTCCGTAAGAGATACACGGGAATAAAGCATCAACTTCAAAAGAAGATTTCTTGCTTGAAATGCAAAATGCTCAGCATGCTCGCATGCGTCATGGGCGCTCTGACCTTGGTACTTGTTTTGTGTTTATACTATCATTATGGCTAATGCTCTTGATACTATACACTTCTCGAGGTAGAAGTTCTGATCAATGAGATACACAAGTACAGAATCATCTACAATGCCGGTTTTTCGAAGCACAAGATCAACATTTAACGTGAAGTCGCCTGGCGTACAGTATCTGAAAAGTTGGAGAAGTATTGTACTACTGTACATTTCAACAATTTGTTTGTCTTTCTTATTGTTTTGAAGTCAGCTTAGCAACTTTTGACTATGCTTTGTATACAAAGTTTTTAACATGAGACCCCTAAGCATAAAGCTTCCGTCGTTTCGTCCGCGACGAGGTGTTTTCAGTGGCAACGGTCTTGACGAATTCGCCACGTCCTTGAAATTCCTTGCGTCGGCGTAGAAATCGCTCACGAATTTCGCCCGCCGAAATTCGCATGACGAACTTGAGCTGAACGGCGGAAGCGTAGTGCATCGTCGTTGTCTTGGCGTGATTTGGATGTTTTCATTCATGGAGAATCTGTGTGTAAAGCTTGGGCGTCCGGCAAGGCATTGGCATGTTTTTCGCGACCCCTCCGCGCGGCGCATCGAGCGGCGTCAGGTCGATGTTTGTGATGAGGAAATGCAACTAGCTTCACGGTACACATTTAAAATGTAGTGGAGAAAACGGCGAGAACCAATAGAAGTCTAGCTGGTCTGATGCCCAACTTAAATGGACCAAAAGCTGCCAAGAGGAAACTACTGCAAAGCGTGAACACGTTACATACGCTGCTCCAGTGTGGGCGACCGAGCTACCAGTAAAGTTACTGTCATGGAAGAGCTCAAGAAAGCACTGCAGGCTATCAGTGGCTATTGCACTGTGTTAACGGAGGCGATGTAGGTTATTTCCAGATCGTTACCGATCGATCTGTCTCTCAAGGAAAGAACAAAAATTTATCCAAGAAAACAGGCTGCAAAAAAGGGTGGGCTAAGAACAGACACGGAGACCAAGCAGTTATACCGCAGAATTGCCAACGAGGAGCGAGCACGATCCTCGGCCGAATGGCAACGTAAGTAGGAAGCTGACAGCGGAAAAGCCAACTGGACCAAATGGTTGATCCCACGGGTGGAGAAGTGGATAAGAAGAAAGGGTTTGGAAGTCAACTACCACCTGACACAAATGCTGACTGGCCACGGCTCTTTCAGGGCATTTCGTAAGAGAATCGGCAAATGTACGAGCGAGCTTTCCATTCTTTGCGGGGAACAGCTAATGGACGACGCGGAGCACACGCTCTTTCACTGCTCCAAAGCGAGAGAGGAGCGTGCGAGCTTGCTTACAAACTGGGCTTCGAAATCACACCGGAGAATCTGATTGAGCTCTGTGCGTTAGAGGAGGCGGGCTGGTCCCTACTAAGGCAGGTGGTCCAGCAGATTTTCAAGCGGAGAGAGGACAAGGAGAGGCAGCAAGAAATGGACAGAGACCAGGAATGAGCCGGACCGATGTAGAACGAGACTATGTGCCAGGAACACGGATACGTTCCAACTGAGTCTGGGCCATCTTGCTCTTGCCAGTGGTGCTTGTGGTGGAAAAGATTTTCTGTTTCTTTAGCATGTAATGTAGGCCTTCCGCCATCGACCTGTCTGTCAACGGTAGCAAATTGTAAAAAAATGAAAAAAAAACAAAACAAAACAAATGCAACTGAATCGTGAGTTGGGAAATAATCCGTAAGTGCAGCCGTCTATGTTTAAATTCATTCACGGCAAGTGTTCAGAGATAAATATTCAACAATGGGTGTAAGCGTATTGCTGCTAGCTGGAAACTCCTCAAAAAAATTGTGGGTAGCTTTTTAAAACATTGATTAAAAATGAGATGTAAAAAATGTGCATAAACTTTGCAATCAGAGATAAATAGGTACCCTCTCTTTCGCATGCACTCGTTGGCATTTGAATCCATTTTTCTCTTTTTGGACACGGTTGTATGGCCAAAGACTAGAACAGGTGCCTATTGTGGTGGCCCGAAACAGGGCCGTTGGAAGGGGGCAAGTCGGCCGGCTGCATGAAGTTCGCGTGCTGGATGTGAGATAGGTCCCGTGTGACTGACGGGTGCGGAGTGACTTGAGATGGTGAGCTCACGGCTATTATAGCCGTGGTTGAGGCTGCGTCAACCAATCAGGAGTGAGCGTGAGATGCATCGCCAGAGGTGAGCAATGATTGGCCGCCATAGTTGTTCTACGAGTTGGAAATGCCGCCACAGTTGTTCTACGAGTTGGAAATGCCGCCAGGGACGTCACTAAGCGGTGCATTTCTTCACTTTAAAATCTACTTCATTACTATTTTCCATATCAGAAAAGAGAAAAATACTGGGAAATTAGCTCTTTAAGCTCTCTCAGATGAAAAAATAAAAAAATTGCGTGCAAATTCTCCATTGTCATCATATGGGTTGCTCATTTCAGCTTTGATGTTACAGAAAATACTGTTATTTAAACTCAAAAAGTGAATTACTGAATGACGGAAGCTCAAAAACAATGTCAAAGCTGTTCCATTATCTTGCATTGAACTTGCCTATCATTGACAAAACTAAAGTATGAAAATACCGGTTCTGTCGAAGAATTATAATTTAAATTTGTTTTATACATTTCAAAACGCTCCTCTTGCATACTGTAATTACAGGGATCTATTCATTATCGAGATACCCTAACCTCTAGCAGGCGCGCAGATTGTTTTAGGCCTCAGCAATTTTCTGCAATCTGCGGTGTTTTGAAAAAAGGTCAACATAAAACACTGATCCAAATTTTGTTGAATCTTTTTATTATTTCTGGATATGTGCCAAAGTCGTTTAGTTCCACTCATGTTAAAAATCTGAAAGTCTTTAAACAAAAAAAATTAATAAACAAATAATAAAAAAAACTCAGCCTCCGCCGTTTTTTGGGCTTGAAAGGACCCCACACACCCCTTCTGGGAAGCTGCACCATGAAGGAACGTACTTGCCGACTCTGGGGCTACCCCCCTCCTCCCGCTCTCGACGCGTTCGTCGAAGTTCCCCTTATTTCCTTGTCGACACACAGCTGCTTTTCAATCGAGTACTGAAATGAGGAATCTTTCTGGCCTTTTATCGTCCAATAATTGAATCTTCTCGGCCGTTTTTTGCGAAAAAGGGTGCATCGTAGAAAGTTGGCGCAATTATAACTTTTGATCAGCATCTTGAGGAGAATCGAATGACATAAATAAGTTAAGGTTCCTTCATGATGCAGCTTCCCATGAAAGGTGTGCGGGGTCCTTTGGGGTTACCACTGGGGAACTTGGTTACATGACTTTATCAGGCGAAATGGGACTAATACACACGTTGTCAAATGCTGTGTGTACATGGCCTTGGTTTTTCTCTGTCTTGCACCAATTTCCCAAAGAAGTGAATTTTCCGGGAGAGGTACGTTTTGAAGGAAAATCTCGGGCACTTTAGAAAATAGGTGCATTAAAGAGCAAGGAACTAAAATCACTTTCGGACTCAGCGCACAAAATTATGTGAGAATCCACCATCTTATCCTCAGTGTGTGTGTAAAAAATGTTTTTTGTGGACTTGTGTTGTCCCAATTGAGCAACTTACAATCTCCCTTGCAGATGGAATTTGTAAAAGATATGGGAAAACAATCACTGACACATTTGATTAGTAGATCAAGACCTGCAACTTATCAAAAAATCAACTGATTCTACCGGGACCACTTTTCCCATGAGGAAAAACCGATGTCCTGACTCATTTTATCAGTGTAATTTGACACTCCTATCACCAGTGTTATTCAATGTCAAGTTACCAAATGCTTCAACGGCTTATTAATTTGATGAAGGCTGGGTGTGGAACAGCCGACAAATTATTTTTTCAAGTCCCATCACATTCAGTGGGTTATTATTCACCTGCAAAGGATGCTCTGATCACTATCATTATCATTGAAATAATGTAAGTACTCATTAAAGTTCAAGAATGCCTTCACTGAAATTTTACATCTGATTTGAGAAAACCATACACAGTGATCATTTAGCTAAGTGATGGATGTTTTATCACTTGTTGATGGCAATGATCTGGTTAAAATTGAAGCGTACACTGTCACCTCACCACTCACCTGTCTCTGTTTCACCTCTCAATTTCTTACCAACTCACTTTTTTAATTTTTTTTTTCTCATTGTGAAATTAAAAATAATGCTGGGAACCCTGTAATTTTAACATTTCTTGTCACTCTGATCATTTGCTTGTTTGTATTTCTCATTGTCTGTTGTCTGATTTTAAAGCCAAACATGCAAAAATCTTTTCAGAATTGTTAATTAAAAGTTTTTTCATTTTCTGTTTTTATCCTTTTTTCAGAGGAGAAATGTCATAATTTTGTTTGTCTACTCAAATGTGATGAGCATGTATTGGGGACGTCTTTGGTCACAGCTGCTGGTAAAAGTCTGCTGCAAAACTCCAGAGGAGCCATGTATCTTCGGTTTCCCGACAAACTCACATTTCCGGAGCTGTACTCGGATTTTAAAATAACCCTGGAAGTATATGATTTAATTGCCAGGAGCAAGGAAGTTTTACCACACGATATCAAGTATCATATTTCAAACAAGAAGGTATGCTAAAAATTCTCTTCTTCCCTGTCAAGAAATGATTTGTGTGTATTTTGCTCTCCAGTTTTTAGCCAGGGAATATGTTGCATGGTGTCAATTATTGCAACTTTAAATTGCGTGGCAACTTCTCTTCATGTATTCTGATATTATAATTTTTTTGCATTTAAAGAAAAATAGAGCCCAAGGCTGCATTCTGGCTGCATCTCGATATTCATTTCATTCCGAACTATGAAATTTTAATTTTTAAACTTAATGATGCTGAAACATTATTAGGAATTCGTCAAGGCTTTGAAAAAAAAAGATCTATCTTATACCAAGTAGGAACTTTTTAAAATTTACTCATCACATTGGCGTTTCATACTTGAAAGGTTAACGTGATACAAGGTCTGTTAGATTAGAAACCGGATTTTGGTGATAACTAGCCCACAATACGTCCAAATTAGGTTTCCTTGATTTTTACTGATAGCTGAAAATATCCTTAAGAATGCTGCGTTCACAAATTTGAAAAATCTTGACTAGTTTAGTTGATACGTGGCTTGAAGTAAGGCAACCTCATAGGTGTTTTGTGATTTTTATGTTTGACCGAACTTGTCTCTCTTTTTTCGGTCTTGCGCTACATTTTTCAACCCATAAGGATGATTGAAGTTTCGTCTCCATATCGTAGCCGTACACTCAAGTATTGTCACCGAAAATAATTATCCCATCCAAAATGTAGGATCATTGTTAGAATGTTGAAGCAGCTAACGGAAAATTGACATTCGGTTGGATTTATGTTCAACGGACAATGATGAAGGGGCAAGTGTACCTGAAACTCGATGCATGTCGACATATTCTATCAAAATTGTATGTACAGAGCCTACAGAAATATTACACTGTTCAGCAAGCTGGAAATGACCATTTTCGAGCACTTTTGCCTGCGTTTTATCCACATGACAAATGTCAGTTGCCGTTGATGGTCGATTCCCGTGCTCCTCATCTTCGACGAACTTCTGACCAGTTTTGAATCGTTTAACCCACTCAAAATAGTGAGAACAACTCATAAAATGATCTTGTTAAACTTTTCTTAGCATACCAAAAGTTTCGGTACAAGGTATACCGAGTTTAGAACAAAATTTAATGTTAAATCTTTGATCTTTCAGTGATCGCATGATGAAAATCGCTTAACGCACTTGACTTACTCGTATTAAAGATGACACAGAATAAACACTGATCAAAATAAACAAAATCTGTGAATCTAGTGTTCTTCAGTATGTTATCAGCTATCAGGAAAGTCCAAGGAAACCTAGTTCGGACGCACACTGGGCTAGGTATCACCAAAATCCGGTTTATAAACTAACAAACCTCGTAGACTAGCCACGAGTGCTCTTCCCCCTATTTTTGGGATCATGAAATCTAAATTTGAAGTTTGCTGCCTTGTATCTATGAGGCGCTTTAGGCAAAATTGTAAAACATTATCAAATTTCCGTTTTCCAGTTGTTTGATAATAACCTCTCATCTGATTAGAAAACAAACGTGCTTTACCCCTATTACCTTACTTACGAGGGGCATTCGTAAAGTAAGTTAATATTTGTCATATCTTCTAAACCAATGAAGATACGAGGTCTGTTCAATAAGAAACCGGATTTTGGTGATAACTAACCCACCATGCGTCCAAATTAGGTTTTCTTGGACTTTCCTGATAGCTGATAACATGCTGAAGAACGCTAGATTCACAGATTTTGTTTATTTTGATCAGTGTTTATTATGTGTCATCTTTAATACGAGTAAGTCAAGTGCGTTAAGCGATTTTCATTATGGGATCACTGATAGATCAAAGATTTAACATTAAATTTTGTTCTGAACTCGGTATACCTTGTACCGAAACTTTTGGTGTGCTAAGAAAAGTCTAACAAGATCATTTTATGAGTTGTTCTCACTGTTTTGAGTGGGTTAAACGATTCAAAACTGGTCAGAAGTATGTCGAAAATGAGGAGCACGGAAAACGACCATCAACAGCAACTGACATTTGTCACGTGGATAAAACGCAGGCTTAAGTGCTCGAAAATGGTCGTTTCGAGCTTGCTGAACAGCGTGATACTTCTGAAGGCTCTGTACATACAATTTTGATAGAATATTTAGACATGCATCGAGTTTCTGGTAAACTTGTCCTGTGATTGTTGTCCGTTGAATAAAAATTCAACCGAATGCCAATTTCCCTTTAGCTGCTTGAACGTTCTAACAATGATCCTACATTTTTGGATAGGATAATTTTCGGTGACAAGACATGAGTGTACGGCTACGATATGGAGACGAAACTCCAATCATCCTTGTGAGTTGAGAAAGGCAGTGCAAGCCCAAAAGGAGAGAGACAAGTTCGGTCGAACATAAAAATTGCAGAACACCCATGAGGTTGCCTCTTTTCAAGCCACATATCAACTAAACTAGTTAAGATTTTTCAAATTTGTGAACGTACCGTTCTTAAGTGTATTTTCAGCTATCAAGAAAGTTCAAGAAAACCTAATTCGGACGCATTTTGGGCTAGTTATCACCAAAATCCGGTTTCTTATGGAACAGACCTCGTAATTAAAATCTGTAAAAAACGTTTAAATTATCATACTCTCAGCTTTTAAAAAGCTTCAATTTTTTAAATTTAGTTTTCTAAGTGCTGAGTAACATCAGTTTTTCCACACCAGTCTCTCGCCACTGCGTGTCCAAAATTTGCGCTCGTCTTTTGGGGTGCTCTGTGAGTGTTACTCATTGATTTCTTAGAAGGAGGAACAACTATCGATGCTGACAGAAACTGTGATGTCCTGAAAAGGCTCAAATCAGCAATCTAAAGAAAACACCCTGGTTTTCGTCCCGTCATGTGTTCCTGCTTCATAACAACGCTAGGCCACATACAGCTCATGTGACCAATCAGTTGTTGGAGTTTGGATTGTAGCTGAACGCTTGAAATAATGTAGAATTTCTTTAAAAAACTTACATTTTATTAACAAATTTATACCGAAGCTTTTCAAAGCAAACGCTTCATCGTCAGGGTCACAAAATCAACATCACAAAGGCCATAATTTAAATTTCAAACAAGGTAACATATTTCATTGATGGTAACAATTGATAACAAGCTATTAGATCAAATCACTCTTAATAATCAAAACATTGTCAATGTATGCTTAGTACCTGATTCTCATCAGAGATGGCAGCACATTTTATGTACAGGGGATTAGTTGCCAGATCTACCTCTTTTTGTACATTTAATAATTCTTCCCCTCCTTTTACTGCCTTAGTTATTTCATATTTTTCTAGGACTCTAAGCATTTTTCTGTCCCTGTTTTTGTGGAGAATTTTAATTTCTTTCATCTGATGATTTTCTGCTTTGATGTGCTTAAATACGTTCGAGGATGGTAGTGTCATGTGTTCATTAACTCTACAGTTGATTGAGCGCTCAGTTTTTTCGATATATATTTTCTTGCATGAATTACAATCTAAACGGTAAACGCCAGTTACATTCTTACTATTACCAATATTGCCTTTACCTTTTTTGATTTTGTCGGTTACCTTCCTTATATTGTCTAGTATGCTGTAATTAGTCTTAAAAGCTGTTCTGTACTGAGTTTGGTTTAAACAATCGCTAATTTTTGAGCTAACAGGGCCAAAATAATCAATTTATATATATTTGTCATTATTTTTGGGTTTTTTAGCCTCATTGCTGTTAGCATCAGAGCACTGTTTTTCATGTCTCCTTAAAATTTTGTTGACAATATATTTAGGGAATCCATTAATTTAAGCAATACTCTGGATAATACCGATTTCCTCTTGTCTATGTTTGTGGCTAAGTGGAATGGAAAACACTATGTGCCATTGCATGAATTGCAGCGTGTTTATGGCTGTTAGGGTTATTAGAATGGAAGGGAATTCTACTAGGGGAATAAAAATTGATTATTTTGGCCCTGTTAGCTCAAAAATTAGCGATTGTTTAAACCAAACTGAGTACAGAACAGCTTTTAAGACTAATTACAGCATACTAGACAATATAAGGAAGGTAACCGACAAAATCAAAAAAGGTAAAGGCAATATTGGTAATAGTAAGAATGTAACTGGCGTTTACCGTTTAGATTGTAATTCATGCAAGAAAATATATATCGAAAAAACTGAGCGCTCAATCAACTGTAGAGTTAATGAACACATGACACTACCATCCTCGAACGTATTTAAGCACATCAAAGCAGAAAATCATCAGATGAAAGAAATTAAAATTCTCCACAAAAACAGGGACAGAAAAATGCTTAGAGTCCTAGAAAAATATGAAATAACTAAGGCAGTAAAAGGAGGGGAAGAATTATTAAATGTACAAAAAGAGGTAGATCTGGCAACTAATCCCCTGTACATAAAATGTGCTGCCATCTCTGATGAGAATCAGGTACTAAGCATACATTGACAATGTTTTGATTATTAAGAGTGATTTGATCTAATAGCTTGTTATCAATTGTTACCATCAATGAAATATGTTACCTTGTTTGAAATTTAAATTATGGCCTTTGTGATGTTGATTTTGTGACCCTGACGATGAAGCGTTTGCTTTGAAAAGCTTCGGTATAAATTTGTTAATAAAATGTAAG